GAGAGAGAGAAGAGAGAGAGAAGAGAGAGAGAGAGAGAGAGAGAGAGAGAGAGAGAGAGAGAGAGAGAGAGAGAGAGAGAGAGAGAGAGAGAGAGAGAGAGAGAGAGAGAGAGAGAGAGAGAGAGAGAGAGAGAGAGAAGGGGGGCCATTACCCCATACATCTCACTACCGTCACATGGTCAGGATAATGAAGATGTCAGGACGTGGGTCCACACTTGACTTAAACAGTTAGGGTAACAGACCACATCCTCCCTCCCGGTGAGAGTCTACTTCACCGGCGTGAAGGAAGATATGAAGAAAACTGCACCAGATCTCCTCCGAGACGTAATGTTTAAGTTCAGTGACAGGTGAGGGAGGCTTGCTACTGGGTGTTGTGGTGACACTATGGTGGGCTGGAGGCAAGGGTAATGCCTCAAGCGGCTCACTACGCTCTTTCCCCTCACATTGACACGTGTGTGTGCGCGTGTGTAATGACTGGTAACTGCGTTTGATCTGTTGGAGGCCTGAGGTAGGGAAGACCTCGACGAAGGTCCTTGGGTTAATGTGTGGTTTTAACTCTCCGAGGCTGTGTGAGGGACAGCTGATAACACCCGGTAAGTACAACTAGGTGAGCACACTTGGTCACACGCGAGCATCACCCGGGTATCCGCTCGCCCGCTCCTGTCCCTATTACTCCCACGGTGTGCCTTCGAGTCAGAATGGGGCGTGACACATGCTTAGATCTCCTGCCCTCCCATGCTTAACTCTAGAGGCCACATGCTTAACTCTAGAGGCCACATGCTTAACACTCTCTATAAGCATACATGCTCACCTCTACAACTCTACGCTTGCTAAACATACACTGTCAACACTCACCTTTCCCATCAACATACACACACACTTGAACACCCTATACTAACTATACACCACATTAAACACACATGAGGACGTGCACTGGGCGAGCGGGGCGCCTCTCACCCCTCGAGACGGATCCCGTGCCAGCAGACGACGCGCTCGGTCCTCGTCCTAACTTACCCTACTTGGTCGTACCTGCTGGGGCCGACAGTCACCATGGACCACCTCGAGGCTCGTGACTGTGTATCGTCATCACATGAACGTCGCAACATCAATGAGACATCCAAGTTTACAAGGCATCAATGTAAACCGCAAAAGCCATGAGGCACAAGAAATATTTGGTTTACATCACAAAATTATATTGTTTATCGTAGTAACAATAATTGCTATACATAACTGCGTATCACTGAACAAGGGCAAGTGGTATGGCAGTATACCAACCAGTTGGTATACATGATGTATACCAGGAGAGTGTAGGTGTTTATAGTTATGACTATATTATAAGAGAATATATCTAAGTCATATAATAATTTAAACGAATATTGTTGACAAAAGTCATTTTGAATTTGACTTCTCGTGGCCCTTATGGCCAAGATGGCCCACCATGGGTCATTATGGGTACACCATGGCCCACCATGGGTCATTATGGATACACCATGGCCCACCATGGGTCATTATGGGTACACCATGGCCCACCATGGGTCCTTATGGGTACACCATGGCCCACCATGGCCCACCATGGGTCATTATGGGTACACCATGGCCCACCATGGGTCATTATGGGTACACCATGGCCCACCATGGCCCACCATGGGTCCTTATGGGTACACCATGGCCCACCATGGGTCATTATGGGTACACCATGGCCCACCATGGGTCATTATGGGTACACCATGGCCCACCATGGGTCATTATGGGTACATCATGGCCCACCATGGGTCATTATGGGTACACCATGGCTCACCATGGGTCATTATGGGTACACCATGGCCCACCATGGGTCATCCTCAGCTGACCCACCTGTCTATAAGGGTCTGGGACTTCCTGAGCTGACCCACCTGTCTATAAGGGTCTGGGACTTCCTCAGCTGACCCACCTGTCTATAAGGGTCTGGGACTTCCTCAGCTGACCCACCTGTCTATAAGGGTCTGGGACTTCCTGAGCTGACCCACCTGTCTATAAGGGTCTGGGACTTCCTCAGCTGACCCACCTGTCTATAAGGGTCTGGGACTTCCTCAGCTGACCCACCTGTCTATAAGGGTCTGGGACTTCCTCAGCTGACCCACCTGTCTATAAGTGTCTGGGACTTCCTCAGCTGACCCACCTGTCTATAAGGGTCTGGGACTTCCTCAGCTGACCCACCTGTCTATAAGGGTCTGGGACTTCCTCAGCAGGATCTCCACGTCCTGGGAGACACAGCGGCTGCCAGTGTCACAAGACCATTTGTCCAGGATGCTGCCGTGGAGGTCGATCTGGGGAGAGGAGAGAGGCTGTGAGCACTGTATCCAGTGTCCACTGTGTAACACTAACTAGAACTGGTCGCTGTAACCGATGTAACAGTGACCAGAACTGGTCGCTGTAACCGGTGTAACAGTGACCAGAACTGGTCGCTGTAACCGGTGTAACAGTGACCAGAACTGGTCGCTGTAACCGGTGTAACAGTGACGAGAACTGGTCGCTGTAACCGGTGTCCACTGTGACCAGAACTGGTCGCTGTAACCGGTGTAACACTGTGACCAGAACTGGTCGCTGTAACCGGTGTAACACTGTGACCAGAACTGGTCGCTGTAACCGGTGTAACACTGTGACCAGAACTGGTCGCTGTAACCGGTGTAACACTGTGACCAGAACTGGTCGCTGTAACCGGTGTAACACTGTGACCAGAACTGGTCGCTGTAACCGGTGTAACAGTGACCAGAACTGGTCGCTGTAACCGGTGTCCACTGTGTAACACAGTGACCAGAACTGGTCGCTGTAACCGGTGTAACACTGTGACCAGAACTGGTCACTGTAACCGGTGTAACAGTGACCAGAAGTGGTCAGTAAGCGGACCATCAAGGCCGCCCACAGAGACCACTACAGTGAGAGTCACTATGGAGGCAGCAGTGGCGTCAGTGTCCGGGTGTGTGGCGTCAGTGTCCGGGTGTGTGGTGACAGTGTCCGGGTGTGGCGTCAGTGTCCGGGTGTGTGGTGACAGTGTCCGGGTGTGTGGCGTCAGTGTCCGGGTGTGTGGCGTCAGTGTCCGGGTGTGTGGCGACAGTGTCCGGGTGTGTGGTGACAGTGTCCGGGTGTGTGGTGACAGTGTCCGGGTGTGTGGTGACAGTGTCCGGGTGTGTGGCGTCAGTGTCCGGGTGTGTGGCGACAGTGTCCGGGTGTGTGGTGACAGTGTCTGGGTGTGTGGCGTCAGTGTCCGGGTGTGTGGCGTCAGTGTCCGGGTGTGTGGTGACAGTGTCCGGGTGTGTGGTGACAGTGTCCGGGTGTGTGGCGTCAGTGTCCGGGTGTGTGGCGTCAGTGTCCGGGTGTGTGGCGTCAGTGTCCGGGTGTGTGGCGACAGTGTCCGGGTGTGTGGCGACAGTGTCCGGGTGTGTGGCGACAGTGTCCGGGTGTGTGGCGACAGTGTCCGGGTGTGTGGCGTCAGTGTCCGGGTGTGTGGCGACAGTGTCCGGGTGTGTGGCGACAGTGTCCGGGTGTGTGGCGACAGTGTCCGGGTGTGTGGCGACAGTGTCCGGGTGTGTGGCGTCAGTGTCCGGGTGTGTAGCGTCAGTGTCCGGGTGTGTGGCGTCAGTGTCCGGGTGTGTGGCGACAGTGTCCGGGTGTGTGGTGACAGTGTCCGGGTGTGTGGCGTCAGTGTCCGGGTGTGGTGACAGTGTCCGGGTGTGTGGCGTCAGTGTCCGGGTGTGGTGACAGTGTCCGGGTGTGTGGTGACAGTGTCCGGGTGTGTAGCGTCAGTGTCCGGGTGTGTGGTGACAGTGTCCGGGTGTGTGGCGTCAGTGTCCGGGTGTGTGGTGACAGTGTCCGGGTGTGTGGCGTCAGTGTCCGGGTGTGTGGCGTCAGTGTCCGGGTGTGTGGCGACAGTGTCCGGGTGTGTGGCGACAGTGTCCGGGTGTGTGGTGACAGTGTCCGGGTGTGGTGACAGTGTCCGGGTGTGTGGTGACAGTGTCCGGGTGTGTGGCGACAGTGTCCGGGTGTGTGGTGACAGTGTCCGGGTGTGTGGCGTCAGTGTCCGGGTGTGTGGTGCCAGTGTCCGGGTGTGTGGCGACAGTGTCCGGGTGTGTGGCGACAGTGTCCGGGTGTGTGGCGACAGTGTCCGGGTGTGTGGCGTCAGTGTCCGGGTGTGTGGTGACAGTGTCCGGGTGTGTGGTGACAGTGTCCGGGTGTGTGGTGACAGTGTCCGGGTGTGTGGTGACAGTGTCCGGGTGTGTGGTGACAGTGTCCGGGTGTGTGGCGACAGTGTCCGGGTGTGTGGTGACAGTGTCCGGGTGTGTGGTGACAGTGTCCGGGTGTGTGGCGTCAGTGTCCGGGTGTGTGGCGACAGTGTCCGGGTGTGTGGTGACAGTGTCCGGGTGTGTGGCGTCAGTGTCCGGGTGTGTGGCGTCAGTGTCCGGGTGTGTGGCGTCAGTGTCCAGGGTGTGTGGCGTCAGTGTCCAGGGTGTGTGGCGTCAGTGTCCGGGTGTGTGGCGTCAGTGTCCGGGTGTGTGGCGACAGTCCGGGTGTGTGGTGACAGTGTCCGGGTGTGTGGTGACAGTGTCCGGGTGTGTGGTGACAGTGTCCGGGTGTGTGGTGACAGTGTCCGGGTGTGTGGTGACAGTGTCCGGGTGTGTGGTGACAGTGTCCGGGTGTGTGGTGACAGTGTCCGGGTGTGTGGCGACAGTGTCCGGGTGTGTGGCGACAGTGTCCGGGTGTGTGGTGACAGTGTCCGGGTGTGTGGTGACAGTGTCCGGGTGTGTGGTGACAGTGTCCGGGTGTGTGGTGACAGTGTCCGGGTGTGTGGCGTCAGTGTCCGGGTGTGTGGCGACAGTGTCCGGGTGTGTGGTGACAGTGTCCGGGTGTGTGGTGACAGTGTCCGGGTGTGTGGTGACAGTGTCCGGGTGTGTGGTGACAGTGTCCGGGTGTGTGGCGTCAGTGTCCGGGTGTGTGGCGTCAGTGTCCGGGTGTGTGGCGACAGTGTCCGGGTGTGTGGTGACAGTGTCCGGGTGTGTGGTGACAGTGTCCGGGTGTGTGGCGTCAGTGTCCGGGTGTGTGGCGTCAGTGTCCGGGTGTGTGGCGTCAGTGTCCGGGTGTGTGGCGTCAGTGTCCGGGTGTCATCACCCAAGTGTGTCAACTGCATGCAATCCCACCAGGCCTGGACTCGACACTGCAGCATGAGGCCTACTTGGCAAGGCCCAACATGTACGGCGGCCCAGGTCGCAGGTGAGCCAGTGAATAGAGGGGCCGAGGGTCGAGCGGGTGATCCAGCCTGGGACATGTGCAGAATAACCGGCCACCACTCCCCCATCCCTGAGGCCTACCCACCTCTCCCCATCCCTGAGGCCTACCCACCTCTCCCCATCCCTGAGGCCTACCCACCTCTCCCCATCCCTGAGGCCTACCCACCTCTCCCCATCCCTGAGGCCTACCCACCTCTCCCCATCCCTGAGGCCTACCCACCTCTCCCCATCCCAGAAACGCGTCCACTCATTCTTCACTCTCTACCCACGGCGCCTCACCACCACTCACCCCCTCCTTCCCCTTCAACCAGACATCTCCACCCCCTCCCTACTACTTCCCCCTCCTCCCTCCAACCACACCAGCCACCCACTCTGACCCACCAACCAGTCCACCTTCCTGACCCCAGGAGAATGCCACCCTGAATCATATCAAAGCAATTCTTGACGAAATGACACAAAATCACCAACTCGTCAAACGAATAATGCGCAAACAAACGATATTTGAGAACGCCCTTTGCCAGATTAACAAGTCTCAGGAGCAAGTGTTGCAGATCCTGCTGCAGCAGCACCATCTGCTGAGGGGTTCAGCGGGCCGGAGCCTGGTGCAAGGTTATGCACAATGCAGACACAATGACACCATCACATCAGCACACACACCAACACCAGCGCACATTAATCAACCCTCGTAGCCTGGTGGATAGCGCACAGGACTCGTAATTCTGTGGCGCGGGTTCGATTCCCGCACGAGGCAGAAACAAATGGGCAAAGTTTCTTTCACCCTGAATGCCCCTGTTACCTAGCAGTAAATAGGAACCTGGGTGTTAGTCAGCTGTCACGGGCTGCTTCCTGGGGGTGGAGGCCTGGTCGAGGACCGGGCCGCGGGGACACTAAAGCCCCGAAATCATCTCAAGATAACCCGTCCTCTTAAAAATAACGTCGCTTTTCACTCGTATGTTCGCAATGGCCAAAAATGGACATAATTTGAAATGAAATCGGCTCACAAAAGTGATGCACTGTCCCGTTTTTTGTTCGAGTCCTCCGGCTTACTCGGTTAGGTTAGGAGAGGAAACTTTCAATTAACGTTTTTCATAACGTTTAGAAACCTTAGGAGAACTTCCTGCCCTCCTAACCTATCAGAGGACCCTAAACTTACTGTTTTGGAAAAAAATACAAAATTTATTTTCAATTATTTTTAATTTTCAAAATACGTTCATTTTCGGCCATACAAGTAAATGGCCAAATACAGACATAATATGTTAGAGGAGAGGTTGGTGCCGTCACCACAATAATATGTTAGAGGAGAGGTTGGTGCCGTCACCACAATAATATGTTAGAGGAGAGGTTGGTGCCGTCACCACAATAATATGTTAGAGGAGAGGTTGGTGCCGTCACCACAATAATATGTTAGAGGAGAGGTTGGTGCCGTCACCACAATAATATGTTAGAGGAGAGGTTGGTGCCGTCACCACAATAATATGTTAGAGGAGAGGTTGGTGCCGTCACCACAATAATATGTTAGAGGAGAGGTTGGTGCCGTCACCACAATAATATGTTAGAGGAGAGGTTGTGCCGTCACCACAATAATATGTTAGAGGAGAGGTTGGTGCCGTCACCACAATGTTAGAGGAGAGGTTGGTGTCGTCACCACAATAATATGTTAGAGGAGAGGTTGGTGCCGTCACCACAATAATATGTTAGAGGAGAGGTTGGTGTCGTCACCACAATAATATGTTAGAGGAGAGGTTGGTGCCGTCACCACAATGTTAGAGGAGAGGTTGGTGTCGTCACCACAATAATATGTTAGAGGAGAGGTTGGTGCCGTCACCACAATAATATGTTAGAGGAGAGGTTGGTGCCGTCACCACAATAATATGTTAGAGGAGAGGTTGGTGTCGTCACCACAATAATATGTTAGAGGAGAGGTTGGTGCCGTCACCACAATAATATGTTAGAGGAGAGGTTGGTGCCGTCACCACAATGTTAGAGGAGAGGTTGGTGCCGTCACCACAATGTTAGAGGAGAGGTTGGTGTCGTCACCACAATAA